TGCGCATCACAGCCAGAGTTGCACGCTCGACAAGATGAACGCCAAGCCCTCGGTTCCAGAACAAAGTAGTTTGCACATGCGTTGACCGTTTGGCGATGCGTGCACCGTCAACTACAATGCCAGTCGCTACCATGGTCTACACCACCGCATGCTCACGGCTGCTGGCCATCTCGTAGGAGAGAAGTTGTCATGGCTGCATCGCGTATCGTCGCATCCAGATTCAAGCGGACGAATCTCGACTTCATCGTATGAAGCAAGGACGCCACCAGCGCGTCCCCCAGCATCATGATCGACAAAGCTGTACAAGTAATACCCACGTGCTTGGCAGGCACGGAACAGAAACTCTTCGCGCAAATATACGACTGCGCCACTGTCAAGATCGACGGCTTCGACAAGCCTGGAGATGTCATAATAGGATATGGGGTTCTGCCTGGATGCAGCACAGGACCAATTTCTTTCCATGTTGTATGCGAGCAGCCGGTAGGCCAATGGCTGGACGATACCACGCAGGACTCAGAGCCGTTCGCCGCTGACTCCCCCATGTCTCACAACATGATCGACCTCTCAGTCGAGTTATTCGTGGACGACACCCTCAAGACCTTGCAGGGCCGCCCGATCAAAGCGCTCAAGACCTGCAGGAAGATCTACGCGGACAAGTGCAAGGAGGCGGGGGGAGGACACGCTTTAGGGCCTCATGAAGCCATCTCTACATGACGTTTATTTCGACCCTCTGTACAGAGGACGTGGGCGGAAGACTCGAGCAGTTCTCACGGAGCATGGGCAGTTCGTGGACAGGATCAAGGCAACGTCGGTACTACGAAAAGTTAAACACATCCGAATCAGCAAATGCTACGACTCCAACACGGCGAAGCTCACCCTCTTCATCGAGCAAGGCGCCTGGACGGGCACAGAGTACGAGGAGGACCCGACGGACGAGCCAAAGAAATACGTATCAAGGTCAACATCCGCAGCGCCCTTCTTCAAGTTGGTGCAGTGGTAAATGAGGGCAGGGCGCCAGCGGGAAGCATGGAGGATGAACTGGCCGCCTGGCTTTCAGGACTGCGAATTCAAATATGAAGGCCGATCTATATATTACGCCATGGTCAATTTCAAGCTAGGCATGCGCGCTACCGTGAGCTGAGGGAAGGCGCCCGCCGAGATCGGGCGACGGCGGAGGCTCAGAGATATAGCAGGATGCAGACTCCGCCCCCCGAGGCCGCTCTTAGTATTATTATTAGTAATGTTATTATTATTCCTCCTCCTCCTCCTCCCCGTCCTCCTCCTCCTCCTCCTCCTCCTCCTCCTCCTCCTCCTCCTCCTCCTCCTCCTCCTCCTTACGCTTCCCGTCTCACCTCATTATGCTTCTCCCCCTCCTCCCCCTCCTACCCCTCCTCCTCCGTCCTCCTCCTCTTCATATTGGCCCAGACGTGGCAGCATCCTCCCCTGGCGATGCGAACCCCGCGCGACGGTGAGAAGCGCTGATGGGGAAAATCCTTGGGGCCTCGGGCGGCAACTTGAGACCGAATTTACGTCGGATCCACGTTGGGCTTACGTCGGAGAGAACGCGTTTCGTGGACGCCTGCTGGAAAAAAAAACCTTGGCACGTTGAAAAGGGGGGGCGGATCCAAACCAATGAACACCCCCGGAGAAGCGGAGGGGGGAGGCCCTGGACACCGGCCTCCATAACCTGGGGTGGGGGCCCCTGCCCAAGGGAAAGGCCGGGTTCGAACCGGGGGGAGGGCCCTCCCCCCTGAGTGCAAAAGGGGGGGTCGTACCGGAAGCGCCCCCTCCCGTACGGGAAGGGGGTTCGAACCGAGGGGATGGCCCCCCCCCGTGCCCAAAAGAGGGGTGGGGTTCGAACCGGGAGAAGGGCCGTCGTGGTCTTCGTCGTCGTCGTCGTCGCCGGCGCAAGCGCCAAGAAGGGAGGGGACACCCCCCGGTTCGAATCCCCCTCTTGCAACTCAAGAGGGGGAGCCCTGTGCGCGTCGTCGTCGCCCTCGCCGTCGCCGTCGCCGCCGCCGCCGTTGCCGTTGCCGTCGCTGTCGCCGTCACCGTCACCGTTGTCGTCGTCGTCGTCGTCGTCCGTCGTCAGTTCTCGTCGTCGGCGTCGCCGTCGACGTCGCCGTCGTCGTCGTCGTCGCCGCCGTCGTCGTCGTCGTCTTCGTCGTCCGTTGTCCGTTGCCGTCGTCGTCGTCGCCGTTGTCGCCATCGTCGCCGTCGCCGTCGTCGCCGACGTGGCCGTCGTCGTCGTCGTCGTCGTCGGTCGTCAGTTGTCGTCGTCGTCGCCGTCGACGTCGCCGTCGTCGTCGTCGTCGAGGCCGTCGTCGTCACCGTCGCCGTCGCCGTCGCCGTCGCCGCCGCCGCCGCCGTCGCCGTCGCCGTCACCGTCGCCGTCGCCGTCACCGCTGTCATCGTCGTCGCCGTCGTCGTCGTGGTCGTCATCATCGTCGTCATCGTCGTCGCTTCCCGACGGCGACGGCGCCAGCGCTGGCGCCCGCCGTCGTCGGTTGCAGGGGGGCCCCCTCGTCGTCGCTCCCCAACGGCGCAGGCGCCAGCGCCGACGTTCACCGTCGTCGACTGCGAGGGGAGGGGGCCCCTCCCGGTTTGAATCCCCCTCCTCGCAACTCGGGGGGGAGACCCCAGTTCGAACCCCCCGCCCCTGTAACTCGGGGGGGCGGGCCCGGTTCGAACCCCCCCGCCCTTTTGAACCGAGGGGGGGGGCGCCCCCTCGGTTCGACCCCACCCCCTGGACACAGGGAAGGGGGCCCTGGTTCGAACCCCCCCTCCCGCAACCCAGGGGGGGCGACACTGGGCTATTCCAACTACTTCAGTACTTATCCCAACCACGTTGGTACTAATTCCAAACACTATCGTATGAATTCCATCCAACCTACATGAGAAATCACAAAGGCGTTTTACAAGCGTCTTGCAGGCGTCTCACGGGCTTATTACGGACATCTCTCAGAGGCGTCTCTGAGAGGCGTCTAACAGGCGTCTCTGAGAGGCGTCTTACAGGCGTTCCTGAGAAGCGTAATTCAGAACCCATCCGCCAGTTGTTTCTTTGGCGCCTCCTAGGAGCTCGGGCTCTAGCCTTGGCAAGGCTGCGGCCCAGCCCAGGCTTCCCTCAAACTACCTATCCCGGTCTTCCTTGCTGGATGCCCGCCCGCACTCGTTCGCCCTTCTCCCCGCTACTTTTTCCTAGCCGACTCACTCTACGTAGCCATTTGGGATGTGTTGGCTCGATCCCGTTTTTTGCCTAAACCCTTGGCTCGAGCCCTCCTCCTCACCCTCCTCCTCCGGCCGCGCCCCGTGGTTCCCACATCCGAAGGTGGTCGCCGAGGACCTTGGCAGGCGGCGCGGTCGCCGAAACACTCAAGCCCTTAAACCCTTTTAAGCCTTTGAGGCTTTTTAACCCTGAAACCCTGAAAACATTGAGGCGCTAAGCCCTTGAACCGCTGAATCCTTACACCCTCAAACCCTGAAGCCCTGACACCCTTAAACCCAGAAGCCATTGAACCCTTAAGCCTTCAAACCCTTCGACACTTAAAACCTTCAACCCGTAAGCCCTTAAACCCTTGAACCCTTAATTCCGAACCATGAAGCCCTTAAGCTTGCAAATCCTTGAAATAAAATTTCTGGACAACCATTAAGCCCTTAATCCCTTAAACCGTTAAATCCTTCAAACCCTTAAATCCCCAAGCCCTTGAATCGTTCAGCCATGAAATCGTAGCCCATTAAATACTGAATCCCTTAATCCTCAAACCCTGAACTCCTTCAGCCATTGAACAGCTAAGCCCTTAAACCCTTGGAACCCTGAGGACATTAATTCCTTAAAGCCAAATCCCGAACAACCCTTTGTCTGGGGTGTCCAGGGATTGTACTATCCGGTTCTAGAAGATGTATTACTTACACCGCCATCTACATCTACATCTTGAGTTCCACGTCATCGCAAGCGGGTTAGGTACAAAATCCTCACCGGGAAATCACTTTAGCTTCTAAAACAAGTTTACACACATCAACAGCTGAATGGGCTTTGGGATAAACTAAAATTGACTCACAACTACAATCATACAGTGAGGCTACTTGGCCGGTTGGAATGAATACTAGTTTGGCTGTTCGCGCTCTGGTTGGGATTACTCTCAGCTGGTGGGGATTAGTCTGACATGCGGGGAGGGCCCCCTGGCTCGACCCCCCACCCCCCTTGCATCTCGGGCTGAGGGGCCCCCCAAGTTCAAACCCCCCCTTCCCAGCGTCCACAGAGCGCGCTCTTTCTTACGTCGGGATCACGTTGGCTTGCGTCGGGTGTGGACGAGACGATACAACCAGTGCGCGCCATGCGAGGCCTCCAGGAGATTCCTCATAGCAATCCGAAGCGACGCGGAGCGCGCGGTATGCTTTGCGGAAACTTGCATGTAGAACTTACACCAGAAAACGCAACGAAGTCCACTCGGAACCCGTCCTGCCGCAGAACCACCCAGCGACATTGCTGCCGCTGCCCCTCCCCCTCCAAACGACGGGCCGCTTGGACCCCCTCTGATTGTCACGTCCGAAGTGGGTACGAGCAAAACGTGGTGTGCAAAACGCAGCAGCGGCCGCCAATGGGCAGGTGACCTTTTCCGTCGGACGGACAACGTCCGCAGCGACACCGACAACGAGCCGGATCAAATGGACAAGAACTGGTGTCGGTCTTCGTCCCCACCTTTTCCGTCCACGTTTCGATCGTATGGAGGCCGCCCACACGGGGTCCGAGCATATGAGGTCGGAGGATCGCGCCGCATCGCAGATGGATTGCGAATGCCTCGGCGATGCGGCGCGACCCTCCGACCCCACCCGCTCGGATTCCATTTGGGGGGCCTGGACTCTCTGACCCCTGGAGCCGCGAGGGACAAGCCCGGGGCAGCCGCATCGCCGAGGCGTCGCCGATGCAGCGGCGAAGCATCGGCGGCGTCGGCGACGATGCTCCCGTTTCGATCGTACCGATCTGCGGATGAAGGCGCGACCTGCCAGGCCAGCACCTCGCCCAGGAAAACGGCATTCAGGATCGACGATACCACTGGCTCCGACGCCTTGACGATGTGGCCTGCGGGCGCGCCGCGCTGTGGCGGGCATGACCGAGCCCGGAGGGGGGCGCGGAGGCACGAGCTCTCGCATACGGATGATTTTGGGCAGTTGTGAACCTCTGGGAGGCCTCTCCGAGCACCTGGACCATCAAATAATTACTCTGGATGACAAGACAGTCCTGGGGAGGGGTCTAGGACCTCGGAATCCCCACCGGCCTCACCGCACGGACCCGTCGCAGCAGACATCCTCGGAGAGCGACCCGGATCCCGAAACGGTGCGCGGCCACCCCAACTCCCACTAGCTCACCAAACGTTGCGGTCATTGCACCGTTAGGGGCCCCACATGAAGGAGGGACGACACGGACGACCGGGCGCCAACAATCGTCCCCGAGGACGGCCCTGGCGGAGGGCAGAAGTGCCACCCTCAGAATGTGCAGCAAACGCATGTTATAGGATCCGGGATGCTTTTGTTCCTCCATTGACCCAGAAACATCATAACTGACGATGGCGCCGCAGAGCTGGATGCGGACTCCATCAACTCTACGAGGGCACGATACGGAGCTCTGCCCATAAACTGCTTAGAAGTAAATTTGGCTGGGAGAGGGAAGGAGGCCGAAGAGGGAGCTTCAAGCGTTTCCCTTGTCAGCGCCACCCTGACGGGTACTTAGTGGGCGGGAACTCTGATCGACGAAGGTAAGTAACGTACTCCTGCCACTCCCCTGCCACGTTCCTGCTGCCGAGGCATCCGTTACTGGGTACCCGTGTCTGTAGTGCTAACCTCTAGTCGAAACACGGCCACATGAACGCAGGTCGGGAGCGCGAGCCCTATCGCCGATGGCCGAAGACCCCGCGGAGGCACACAGAGCGAAGAAAATTGCCAGGCGGAGGGCCCAAACACTGAGCACGCCGCTCCAAGGCTAGAGTCGCTCTTACGCCTCGTGCCAGCTGCACCCTCGGCGATTCCGAAGGGTGTGGTTTGCAAAGGGTGTGGTTTGCAACTGGCACCCTTGGGGGGCACACTCGGGGATGGGCGAGGACCTCGACAGAGCTTCCTGCTGCACCCCGAGAAGGCCCAACAAGGGCATCATGGTGCCCAGCCCGAAAGCTGGGGATTTGCGGCTAGTGCTCAAGGCACTCGGGCCTGGCGGAGGAGAGGAGAGAAGGTGAAGCGGCGCGGCGTGGAGGCGTAAATAGGGAAAGGTCGCACACGCGGGTCCCTTCCTGTTTTCTCCCGGCTCTTTTCTTTCTCGCGTCTGCTTCCCCCAAGCCCCAACGACCCACCTTGCAAACCACACCCCAGCGTAACCACACCCTTTGCAGTCGCCGACACCCTCCCCCAACTCGGGTGGACGCAGCTGTCAAGCGCGCCCGGCCGGGAGGGCCGCGCGCCCGCGCGGCGCGTTTGGGCCGCGGCTGGGCCGCGCGCGCCGCGGCGTGCGAGGCGGGGGGGCGCTTTCCGAGCGCTGCGTAGTAGCAGAGGGAGCTTCCACATTCGAGCCTGGAGGGTCGCAGTTGTCTGACCGCTCTGCCACATGCTGGGCACTGCGTAGTAGTAGAAGATGTTTCGACCACCGAGACTGGAGGGTCGCAGTTGCTTGACCGTTTTCTCATGTGCTGGGCCTCCAGGGCACCTCGGGGCCTCTGAAGGCCTGAGGAGACCTGCGGAGCCTCGTCTCAAGGCGATATTTCAGTTCAAGACGGGGTCTCGAATCGAAGAACCCCAAGAAACCTGCATACCGTCCTGGGCAGGAGAAGCTCTCTCCCATGCTTGCATCCCTCCCTGCCTCCCTCAGCGGGAGACGAAACCTCAACCCCTCAAAAGACCTCCAGAGCCTGAAAAGCCCCGCCCTGTGCCTTCCACGCCCCTCCCCATCCCCTCCCATCCCCTCCCCTCCTCCTCCCCTCCTTTTCTGTTCCTCTCCTCTGCTCTTAATCATGTCTGACCCGGAGAACAGTCTTGCTGTTCGCTCCCGAGCTGTTCGGCTGTTTCCTGGGAGCCGTTTACTGGCAGGCTAAACATATTCTTCCCTTGCCCAAGGAGGGTGGCGAAGGCATCAGGAGGATGCCTCTGTCCGTATCCTGATCCTCCACCTCAAACCCACTGCCTCCTCTTGTACCACCGATTGTCATCGCATCTACCTTATCAGTATCGTCATGAGTATCGTCATCATCACCACCAAAAACAACAACAACAACAACAACAACAACAACAATCACTTTACCCGAACGCTCAGTGTTCTCACCAGTGCCAGGGTTTTCATGCGACGCCAGCCAATACCCCCACTTTGTGGGGGGGCAGTGCAAGCTCTACCAAATATCCACACGACTCTTCGCCACCACCCACACCCAGCTTCCCGCCCTATGACGTTCGGACACTTCACTTCGTGGCATGCGGACGACCGTGGCTACTATTCAGGGCCCCGCGGCCGACGACGACGGCGTGCGCGCGCGAAGAAAAAACGAATGTGTCCCGCATGGTATTATTTGACAGGGATGATGGCCCTGGCAGGTGCGCAACCGTTGTCGCAGAAGTTCGAAAAAGTTGCTCGCAAAAGCCCGTTTGACAGAAATGTTTAAAAAGTGTTGGGTTTCCTACGAATCCGCAAGAGCGCGCGGGATGAGATTTTGACATTTTTTTGTTGAAAAACCATTAGTTTTTTGATGTTTTTATGTTGAAATCGTTCCGAACACTAAGCTTTTGGAAGGATTTCGTCTTGCGCGCGCGAATGTCCACTTTACCTTATTTTTTGCAAGGGATTCTTGAAATTTGATTATATTAGAACAAGAAATGTCATTTTATAGTGTTTTTTGCAAGGGAAAGCGGGGGGGAACAAAACAACCGGATCTTGATCACATCGAATTACCTGAGGCTTCCTCACGAAATGATGAAAATGTAGCTGCGGCCTAGGCGGCGCAGGGGGGCCGTGCACCAGGGGTCCCAACAATAATTATTCTTTAGAATTAATAATGTTCAACAACCGCAACGGCAACAACAACCGCAACGGCAACAACAACAGCAGTATCATGACCAGTATCGTCATCATCATATTCATCATCATCAACATATCATCAACATCATCATCATCATCATCATCATCATCATCATCATCATCATCATCATCATCATCATCATCATCATCATCATCATCATCATCATCATCGTCATCATCATCATCATCATCATCATCATCATCATCATCATCATCATCATCGTCAGCATCATCATCAGCATCATCAGCATCATCAGCATCATCGTCATTATCATCTTTATCATCAGCATCATCGTTATCATCATCATAGTCGTCAGCATCATCATCATCATCATCATCATCATCATCATCATCATCATCATCATCATCCGCATCATCAGAACCAGCAACATCATCATCGTCACCACCACCGCCGACACAATCATAATCGCCATCATCGTCGCCGTCGCGATCGTTGCATTCATCATCGAGCTCACCATTTTTCTTCGTCGTTGTCATCAGCATCAGCAGCAAAATCATCATCATCATCATCACCACCACACTCGTCACCATACTCAGTATCGCCGACGCCGGCATCACCCTCATCACCACCACCACCGCCACCCTCACCATCCTAATCACAATCACAATCACCAGCATCATCACAATCATCATCACCCGCAGCATCACCATCATCATCACCATCGACATTCACACTACCATCAGCATCGCCACCACCATAAACACCACCATTGTCATCATCACCTCCACCGTAGTCAGAACCACCACCACCTCAGCAATCATCATCATTATCATCATCATCATCATCATCATCATCATCATCATCATCATCACCACCACCTTCATCATCATCACCCTGATCATAATCAGGATCACCATCATGTCCATCAACCTTATCATCATCAGCAGCAGAATTATCATCAGCATTATCATCAAGGTCATCGTCATCATCAGTATCATCATCATCAGCATCATCAGCATCATCATTAGCATCCGCATGATCATGGTCATCAGCATCCCGATTATCACCATCATCATCAGCAGCAGCATCATTGGCGCTGTCCGCAACCTAATCATGGTCATGACCATATCATCGTCATCAGCATCATCTTCATAATCGCCATCATCGTCATCATCATCATCAGCAGCATCATGAACATGATGGTCGTCATCATCATCAGCAGCATCATCATCACCATCACCAGCATCCGAATCCTCAGCATCATCATCATCATCAGCATCACCATCAGCAGCAGCATTATCATCATTACCGTCATCAGTACAATCACCGCTATCACCAACATGGTAGCCAGTATCGCCACCATCAGCATCATCATCCTCATCACCATCATCGTCCTCCTACCCTTCCGCTCATCATCCTCAAGAATCTCGCAAGGGCGCGCTCGCCGAAGGAGACGGCTCCGGCGAAGAAGGCCACCACGGCGCCCACGTGCGTGGCCAGGTGCCCGAGGGCGGCCGGGGAGAGCGTGATCGCCTGGCGGCGGCACGTCACGTCACCACTTGATCGTGCCAAGACAAGACCGGAAAAAAACTGTTTACAGACTCCATCGGGACAAACAAACGTTTGCCTGCGTGGACCCCAAACGGTGCGCTGTTGTCCTCCGACTGTGCGCCATGTGCGGTGCAGAGCACGCGGTGGAGTCTTCTACGTGGCACAATACGTATGGTGCAAGCTGCGTGGTGCAAGCCGTGCGATGCAAGGTCTGTGGGGAAACTCCGTGGCGCACACTTTTGTGGCCTGAGCAGTGTGGCCACCCAGCGCACAGGAGGGACCACGGGGCGCCCAGGAGGCGGCCACGGGCGGCCACGGGCGGGCACTGAGCGAAACCCCGGCGCACCCACCCACCGCACCCACCCGGCGCACGAGGCGCCCACGAAGGAAACCCACGGGCGGCCACCACTCGGGCACCAAGGCGCGCGGGGCGCCCACGAGGCGCACGCGACTGGCCACCGACCGGACACCAGGCAACCCCCGACACACCAATCCGATTGCTTAAGACCGAAAGTAAGGATACCTGGCGCTGCAAGAACTGATCGAAGAAAACCGATGGACACCCCAGTGTGTCTTTGCTCCTGTTCCTTTTCCTCCTCCTCCTCCTCCTCCTCCTCATCCCCCTCCTCCTCATCCTCCTGTTCCTGTTCCTGTTCCTGTCCCTCCTCCTCCTCCTCCTCCTGATCCACCCCCTCCTCTTCGCGCGTGGCCGAGGCGGACACGCGGGTCATGTCCTCATCGCTCATCGCCGCATCGCGCGGCAGAGAACCTCCCCGTCCTCCTCCTCCTCCTCCTCCTCCTCCTCCTCCTCCTCCTCCTCCTCCTCCTCCTCCTCCTCCTCCTCCTCCTCCTCCTCCTCTCCATCCTCCTCCTCCTCATCCTCCTTCTCAAGCAGCTAGGGCGGTGCTCGGCTGCCCGGAAGGGGCGGGCAGCAGAGAGACATCGGTGGGGTGTTGTGCTCCTGCTTGATGGTCAGCTTGGGCGTCTTGCGGATGCCCGTGAGCCACAGGGGCACGAAGATCAACCTGCACCGCCGGGACATGGCCGACGCTACTGCGCCAAGTTCTGCCCTCGACCCCCGAGGGAAGAGGGGAAGGCTTTCGAACGTGATTGGCCATTGTCGAGCCTCCAGGGACTTCTGAGGGCCTCAGTGCACCCCTTCCGCCGACCCTCCTGAGGGCTCCGCAAGCATAACCGCCGCCTTTGTGCGTCCGCCAGCCTTCCGTCAGCCTTCCGCCGGTCTCCGCTGGAGGGCGAGGCCCAGAGAAGAGCAACGAGCTGCATAGCCACAACTGCCAAAGGCCCGCACGGATTCTCGGGCCCGGGGCAGACTCAACAAAAAAGAAGTCCGCGCAGACCTCCGAAGAAGGGCGTGTATGCCGCTGGGTTTCGAGATCTGGCAGGCTCACGTCGCTACGATGCTGGCATTGGTTTCTGACACCGCGTGGATCGCTCTACCTTGAACGATGCACACAGCATTCCGATAGCGCGGATCGTTCAATACCACCCGATGCGTTTTCATGTTCTATGCGTTTACGATGTGATTCACATTTCCCATACTTTCTGTTGTTCAACACCAGCGGAAGCTGATGCATCAGGCACAAGGAGACGAACCTGCGTCACCAGGATGTGCTGCTCTCACCAGGCACAGTTTGGGAGGGGAGGAAGAGGAGTGAACGCAGCAAGACAAAGGCACTCGTCGACGCAAGCGTTGAGGCACTGAACTACCTCAAGCGCCGTGCAATCGAATGGAGGTGAAGCAACCAGCCAAGCAGAAGGGCTAATCCTGCGAGCGTGGCCGAAACTCCCAACCTGCACGGCCAGATGCGCCCGCATCCACCATTTCTGGAGTCATAGCCCCAGTCCGCGGGGGGCGGTGGACGTGGATGTCACCCCGCCACCAGGTGCGGGCCGACTCCATATCAAACACTTCCTAAAGTCCAGGGATACGACTCCGAAGTGGTGGATACGCATGGATATCTTGCACATAGAAACACATACATATGCACATGTTCCCCCATCAGTGCTTGCACTAGGGGTTCTTACATCTCTTCTTAGGAGCTGTCCCTGAATGTCGGTCTGGCAGCTCCGTGCTCGCCGTCGCCGCCCCGTCGCCACCTGGTCGCCGCCCGCCATCTGGGCCAGATTGTCGGTCTGGCGGCTCCACGCTCGCCGTCGCCGCCTCGTCAACGCCCGTCGTCGGGGCCTGGGTGGCGGGCTAGCGGCTCCGTGCTCGCCGTCGCCGCCCCGTCGCCGCCTCGTCGCCGCCCATCGTCTGGGCTGCTCGCGGTCGCCGCCCCGTCGCCGCCCCGTCGCCGGCTAGATGTTGCAACACGTAGATTCTCCTTTCTAAAAAGAGAATAGACTCTTCCCCCCCCCCAGCGTTATCGCTACCCATTTCGGGTATGTAAATCACATACGATTATGATTACATGTCCATCCTAAATATGAACCCACAATGTCCTTGGCCAGCCGGTATAGCCCCCCCTCTGAGGTTCCCTAGTAAACAACGATACGCGGGGACATGTTTTGTTCTAAGATAAAACTTTCTCGCGAATCCCTTGTAAAAAACGGGACGAAGTGCACACGCGCGCGTCGTCGCGCGCGCATGCAGAAATCATTCAAAAACCTTCGGTGTCGGACGGGTTTCGCAATCGAGTTCCCAAAAAAATACAAAAACACAGGGTTTCGCAACACTGATGTGCTAAAAAAGCTTACGCGCGAGCTCTTGCGAAATCGTCAGGAAACCATAGGTTTTTCAAGATTTTCACAAAATCTTACCAAACAGGGTCGCGCGCGCGCATGTCGAAACCTGTCGAACGCCCTTGCGCGTGTGCCGTCGCAGGTATCATTTGCAAAAAAATGGGACGAAGTGCAGATGCGCGCGTCGTCGCGCGCGTATGCCGAAATCCTTCAAAACCCATCGGTTTCGGAAGGATTTCAAAATCGTTTCAAAATCGTGTGTTCCAACAACGTACCAAAAACACCTGGTTTCGCAATACGGATTTTCAACAAAAGCGTGCGCGCGCGTTCTTGCGTCGTCGTCGTGGTCGTCGTCGTCGTCGCCGTCATCCCTCCTCCAGCGTCGTCGTCGTCGCCGCCGCCGACGTCGTCCTGCCTTTCCTCGTGTTCGTCGTCGTCGTCCTCTTTGGCGTCGTGGTCGTTTCCGTCGTCGTTGTCGCCGTGGTCGTCGTTTCTTCTTCCCTCGACGTCGTCGTCCGTCGTCGACCCTCCTATTTCGTCGCCGTCGTCGTCGTCGTCGTCGTCTTCCCTCCTCCCTCGTCGTTGTCGTCGTCGGCGTCCCGTCCTCCCTCCTTCTTCGTCGTTCGCGTCGTCGCCTTCCTCCCTCCTCCCTCGTCGTTGTCGTCGTTGTCGCCGTCGTCGTCCTCCCTCCTCCCTCCTCCCTCGTCGTCGTCGTCGTCTTCGTTGGCGGCGTCGTTGTCGTCATCGTCGTCGTTGTCTTCGTCGTCGTCGGCGTCGGCGTCGTCGTTGTCGCCGTGGTCGTCGTCGTCGTCGTCCGCGTTGTCATCGTCGTCGTCGTCGTCGGCGTCGTCGTCGTCGTCGGTGTCGTCGTCGTCGTTGTCGTCGGTGTCGTCGTAGTCGGTGTCGGCGGCGCCGTCGTCGTTGTCGTTGTCATCATCCGCGTCGGTGTCGTGGCCAAGTGCCATGTGGTGCCTACCGTTACGGTCTTGTCGTAAAAGGTCTTGCGACCAAGTTGAGGGTGGGAAGGTGGGATGTTTGCACGAGCAGTGGAGAGGACAGCTTCAAGACGGTCAAAATGAATTGCCCCACATAGTTTGCACAACATCGATTGCATACCACAAAGCCATTTCCCGTTTCAACCAAGCAGAAAAAATCCAAAACAAAACTAAATGGTATTGTTTTCCATGTTGCATTTTACGTGCGAATCTGCACCACCGCCAACCGTAGCTATGACCTTATACCATCCCAAACAGGCCGGTATCGGTCCCCCGTCTTCACTCTTTGCGACAAAAACCATGCGCGCGCACTCGTTTCCCAAAAGATCATCAATTTAAAGACACCTTGCCAATGTGGGACGACAAGCACACGCGCGCGTTGTCGCGCGCATGCCAAAATACTTCGAAACCTGCTTGATTTCGCAAAGATGACAAGATCGATAACCCGGAAACAGTTATGTTTTGAACGACAGATGTTCATCAGACTCACAAGCTGTTATCAAACGGCTCAAACGGGCCATTTCGCGCGCGCATGTCGAAATCGTTCGAACGCCCTTGCGCGCGCGTTGTCGCAAGAACCCTTTGCAAAAAAAAGGAACTAAGTGAACACGCGCGCGTCGTCTCGCGCGCACGCCGACATCCTTCAAAAACCCACGGTTCGTCAGGATTTCAACTGAATTGTTCCCCACATCCAAAGTGGGGTTCTTGTTTTCTCTGGACACCCCGCGCAGGAACAGGAACACACACACACACACACACACACACACCCACTCACACTCACTCACACTCTCTCATCATCAACCTCATCAGCATCATCGATGATGTTCTCTCACATGCTTAGTCAGTCACATACTCATCATCATCATCACTCGCACTCTCTCACACGCTCATGAACATCATCATCATCATCGGCATCGGCATCATCCTCATTCAAACATCATCATCGCCACCACCACTCACAATCAATCATCATCCTCTTCACCACTCATCTTCACCACCACTCATCATCCTCATCCTCATCATCGTTGAGTAAATTGTGAGGAAGTCTCAGGCGGGAGCCCCCTCCCTATGGGGCCCGCAGATCATGTTGGTAATCCGAGCGGGTCATCGGAAACCTGTAACTGTCGTCACTTTTGAGCTCCCCAGGCCTGAAAATGGAAGGAAGTCTCAGGCGGGAGCCTCGTCTGTGAGTGAATTGGGAGGAAGTCTCAGGCGGGAGTTCCCTCCCTATGGGGCCCGCAGATCATGTTGGTAATCCGAGCGGGTCATCGGAATCCTGTAACTGTCGTCACTTTGGGCTCCTCAAGCCTGAATTTGGAGGAAGTCTCAGGCGGGAGCCTCGTCTGTGAGTGAATTGTGAGGAAGTCTCAGGCGGGAGCCCCCTCCCTATGGGGCCCGCAGATCATGTTGGTAATCCGAGCGGGTCATCGGAACCCTGTAACTGTCGTCACTTTTGGGCTCCCCAGGCCTGAAAATGGAGGAAGTCTCAGGCGGGAGCCTCGTCTGTGAGTGAATTGGGAGGAAGTCTCAGGCGGGATCTCCCTCCCTATGGGGCCCGCAGATCATGTTAATCCGAGCGGGTCATCGGAATCCTGTAACTGTCGTCACTTTTGGGTTCCTCAAGCCTGAATTTGGAGGAAGTCTCAGGCGGGAACTTCGTCTGTGAGTGAATTCTGAGGAAGGCTCAGGCGGGAACCCCCTCCCTATGGGGCCCGCAGATCATGTTGGTAATCCGAGCGGGTCATCGGAACCTTGTAACTGTCGTCACTTCTGGGCTCGTCAAGCCTGAATATGGAGGAAGTCTCAGGCGGGAGCCTCGTCTGTGAGTGAATTGTGAGGAAGTCTCAGGCGGGAGTTCCCTCCCTATGGGGCCCGCAGATCACGTTGGTAATCCGAGCGGGTCATCGGAACCCTGTAACTGTCGTCACTTTTGGGCTCCTCAAGCCTGAATATGGAGGAAGTCTCACGCGGTTTTGTCCAGGGCGGAGGCGAAGCAGCTCGCGGCAGAGCTGGGCTTCGCGCTGCCTTCCGCCTGAGCGCGGCTGCGCCTCGCTCGAAGCCCGCGGGGTTGTCCCAACGGCTTGGTCTTGCGCGCCAACGGCTCGCGGGGTTGTCCCGACAGCCTGGCCCGCGGGGTTGTCCCAACGGCTGCGCGACGTGACCAGTAGAGAACGCGCCTGTGCTGGCCGTGGCGGCGACGGCGCCGAGGAACATCGACATGCGCGCTCATGCAACAGGAAGGGGAGGAGGTGGCGGGGCGCGGAACAAACAGGGGGGCGAGGATGGGGACAACGTAAGGAGTGGAAGGGGGGCCCGCGCCAAGGCGA